ACCTAGAAGTTCCTCTTCCCATCAACTATCCAGAGGAACTACTTCTCAGATGTACGTTTAATATTCAATTCAAATTTACTGAACAATTCTGTGTACATAAAGATGGTGTAGGTATGGGGTCTCCTCTTGGTCCACTCCTAGCCGACTGCTTCATGGAGAGTCTACAAAACAACATCCTCGATCCTTTGATAGGTCAACTGCACTTATACAGGAGATACACAGATGACACGTTCATAGACTGTGATGAAAAAGTGGATACGGAGTTTTCCCAAAAACCTTCAACTCATCACACCCATCAGTAAAATTTAACTTGGAACGTGAATCCAAACTAGCATTTCCATTCCTCGGTGTAGTGCTCACCAGAAGACAAAACCGAAATGACATAAAGATCAATATATCGCAAGTTCAAGGATCAAAAAATTCTGTTTGGAAGACATGACAGAGAAAGAATTAAATTTGTGACGTGAAGCTCTACTAGAAAATGAGTATCCGCCAAGATTCACAGACAAAGTAGTGAGACAAAAGCGTTTGTCGCAAAAAGTCACAACGGCTTCTGAGGAAACTCTCTTCATGAACCTAGAATTCAAAGGTGCCTTTGAGGTTTAAATCGTTAGAAACCGTCTTCCTAAATGTCTGGAGAAGACATTTCAAGCAGCCGCCTTACGTGTCATATTCTCCAGTAGACAATCAGCCCAGTCTAAAGTTAAGGATTAGATACCACTTTTAGCCACCTCAGTGTGTATTTATAGGTGGAGTAAAGTATATTGGTCTTAGTCAACGTCATGTCTACAAACATATTCTGGAACATTGGCCACATACATTCACTTGCTCTGTTGTAGCCAGAGTAACGTTCTCGATATATTTTACTTATTTTTATTATGCAATTTTACTATTATTTTGTTATTATTACTATTTTATCATTATTATTCCCATCATCCATATTTTATTATCACTCTATTAATGTTCACTAATAACATTGCATTTTCATGCAGATTTTATATGAAAACACGGTATCGTCTTTCCAATAGTTCCTGTCCATTCTACACAATTTTATTGATTAGCCATTATCTCATACTTATTACGCCATGCCAAATTCTGCCTCTCTTCTAACTTCCAGTTAGTCACCCATTCCAGGTTACACCTTATGTTACGTAATAGGTTTTTCGAGGACGTATTTGCCAGTATCTGCCTGGTCTTATATTATAACGATTGTACAGCCTATGAAAATGAATCGTAATAAAGAAAATTTTCTTTGCTGTTTACGTCTTTTTCTAATGACTCACCATATGAATGTTTCGTTCGGGTAGTAAATATTTCGAGCATATTTTGAAAGAAACAGAAGCATCTCCACAGTTTAACTTATCGTTCACTCAAATGAAATCAGTATTTAACCTCAGAGTCAATCCCCTTCTGTCATACTCCAGTAAAATTGAATAATCAGGGCAAAAGTAAATAAAAGGGGTCAAAAATCAACATTTGGTAAATAAGGATAAAGGAATATCCAAAGAATATTACTCAAGTCATGCTCAATGGATAAAATCTGCATTTTCAAATAAAATTTTGCGCTTTCTAACGATGCACTTAGGAGGAATCTTCAACCCGTTAATTATGCTGAAACGACACTTACACAACGAAACAGGCAGAAGCTTCCTACTTAGGTTCCAGTAGTCTGTCCACAAACAACTTCAAAAATCAGCGGGTAAACTTATTTAGTAATCCGATGGTTCCAGTCATTTCCTTGATGTTGAGCTGAATGAGATCCACTAGGCCATGAAGTTGAGATAAATTTGTTAGATCGAATTTAATGAAGCTGTTCAGACATCACATTTGACCAAATACACGCTAAATGTTCTGGGTCGAGGTGGATGTCTACCCTTTCTGCGGTGTGCACTTATTGGTTGACTCAGTTTTAAGTGTTTGAAATAATTTCCCTCGTGGCTTTCTACGGCATCCAGCTCAACTGGAGTAGTTGGTATCCCACTTGCAGACTCTGCTAACTACGAACTTGATACAACAGTGGCTTGAGGTGATTCAACTTGTAAAGTTGATCACTGTCGGATTGCCTGAACAGGAAATCTCTGCTCAGCACCCACTGAACCCCGCCTTGAACATATCGACATACGCGGCTCAGCTCTATTTATCTTGTTGGTATCCTGGACTTTTAGACGATGAAGTTTATGATCAATTCAGATAGTTGGCTGCTAAATGCGCAGTCAATAAAACACCGTTTTGTTGCATGGACATGGATGATCTGTGTACTAATTAGAAACAATATGTAATTTTCGAACTTATTAACTCATCTGCTTCACATTAAATTGTTCGCAGGTGAACGATTCTAACTACTTCATCACTGCTTTGACATTAAGAATTTACAGATGCGAATTATTTCGTAACTCAACTTCTGTTTCAGCGCGAGTAAATAGTGTTTCTCTCTGGTCGCTGCACCAGTCTTACTCGTTATTGATCATTCTTTATACGTGTCGTGGTGGACTTGCTTTTACTATAGAGTTTGTCGTAACTGCATTGGTGAAATTCATACTCATTCTGACCATAAAAATGTTAAAAGGAAAGCGTCTCTTGCCATGGCTTTTCGTCCTTTAAATGTCCATCATAAAAGTAACCCTAATATCCCAAACTCCGTTTAATGACTAATTAGTTTTCAGGCTCTTAAAGTAAAGTATCGAAGCAAAGGGACAAAGAATGCATTTATTATTGATATAGCGTGAATGCGAAAACAATGGCACTGTAGAAATCATTTTCTTCAGCAACGAACCCCGTGAAGTGGCAAAACTGTCGGACAGCCACACAGAAACATGAGTTCATAGAGTATAAAGTTACTTAAGCATTTTATATTATTTATATAATAGGCAATCATTTAAAATTTATCATCAAATTCGCCTTCTCTTTGTGCCATTAAAGCAAATAGGAATGTTTGAAATATAAATGATAGGTATTATAACTGATTTCACGTCCATGATATTAGGAACTGCAAATCGGGTCTATTTGATTTAGGCAATTTCTGCAAGTTTCATTGAAGGGCCTCATAAAATACAGTTTAAGATTAAAGTTCAAGAGCAGAGAAAGTAATGAAAAGGAAAAATAATGACAGAAATGGTCTGGGTATCAAATGTGCATAGGTACTTGCCTGATCGAGATGGCGTTTAGGCTGTTCAAATGCACTGAAGCGTTAAAATAAGCATCTTAGTGTGCAAATACGTCAGGTAACATTTTCGGCAAAGATCAATGAATAATGCGGCTGTTTGTGCAGTATACATCATTATCTTTTAGACTTGAACGCCACTTTTCTTAAATTTACGGGCTCCATTGACTTTCAATAACTTAAACACTACCGAGGCTCTGGGACAGTGCGAACACTTGTCATATTTTTGGGTTCCTACGTAAAAAAAATGTCGCCAGCACAAGCTGATCAGAATGTGCTTATGTTGTTTAAAGTTGTAACTGGTTATTTTCTAGAGGAATAACCACTAACTTAAGCTGCGTTATGGATATCATTTTCCAGTAATGAGTGGTATCTTTTGGTTGCGCAACATTCTAACCCACAACTTGTGATATTCTGTGCATGATTCGTGCAGAAAAAACTACTGTGCCCTCATCTATCTTTTCCAAAATTTATTTGTTGGACTCAACTCTGTTAAGGAATTCGGTTCTGAAAAACTGACGCTAGCAATTGTGGGACAATCTACGAATGATTGCCTTCCACATTTTCCACACCCGTTATTAATGTACTCACGTCACTCACATTATTTGCTCTACTTTGAATCACCTGAGGAATGGTTTATTAAATTTCCTCATAGTCTGAGTTATTATACTGAAGATGTAATACAGAAACGATATAGTGATTAAAATTCATTTATCTTACTATGCCAGGGATTTCAATAAAAGCCACTGCAAATATGAATAAAACTACGCCTAAGGAACTTAGAAAAACAGTGTTATCACCATCCAATAATTGCTATTCAATAGGAAATTCGCTCTTTTTAGTACATTTGCTGTTAGCTTTAAGTGTAAATGTTTCGACTTCTTAGGACGGAAAATGAGCTAACTCTTGTAGGAGTGAAAGCTTTTGAAAGCCTTGTGACTTTATCAGAATTCCGACGGAGCAGTTTTCCAAAACTTCCTGTATTCTTTCGTTCTCTTTTTCTTAGTCTGATGAATATGCAATCGAAAAGTGGTATTTAAATAACACTTTTATGTTGGAGTGTGCGTACTTAATTCCTTTTGATTATTACTACACTCTATAGTTTCCAGTGAAACATCAGGTGTCTAAGCAACATCCCCATTTAATCCTGCTCTCTGTAATCTTCTTCATCTGATTTCAAGATCGTCCATAAACTCCCATCTCTTTATACAATATCCTTAATTCTACTTTCACGAGCTCAAACGGTCGTCTCCCATTCGGACTCCCTTCAAGTACCTGGAGCGAAGTGTTAATCAAAAGTCTTCTCAGTATTTGTTCGATTCGTCTCCGTTTACCGTTGCACATTTGTTTGGGAATAGGTCTTAGGTTGTTTCGTTCCCAATGATCTTTGTTATTATTAATTTCCAGCCATCTGATCCTCACTGTGGAACAAAGACAGCCGCTGAGAAGGTCTGCAATCTACCGCAAATACTTTTGACGAAGCGTGCACCAAGTCTTCGAACTCCATAGAGGGAGTAACTGACTCAAAATTGGAATCTTTTTCTTTATGCTGAGTGTGGCTGATTTCCACACTGATTTCAGAATAATTCATGTCTACCCCACCTTTCTTAGCAGGCAATGACATCCTAACCCGTGTCGCGTGTAGCTAAAATAATACTGCCCAAATAAGTAATAATGATTGAAGCTTGTTTTTGCTGGTAGTGGTCGGTTATGTTTATTACCACTTTCTCTATGTTCATTCAAAGTCTTGTTTCTTTTGTCCGCGAGTTTACTAACTGTGAAGAAAACCATCATTACTTACTCATGTGTGTTTCTTTTACTCCGCTATTTGTTGACCTACAAATGATTGGTGCCTTCTTCAGAGTGTCAATCTATAGGTCAGTATTACTGAAGCGAGTTTGCAAGCCAGTTCTCTGTCCACTCGGTAATTTATGTTTCGTGTTTAGATGATAGTGTGATTCTTATTATATGAAAGAAAATAAGCAGTATGCGTTTTGGTTAATATATATACATTTATATGTATGCAATTGGAATCACCTGCATAGTGTATATGTATACGGAGAAGAAAATTGGCACTCAGCATGTCTAATAGTGAAAAAAACTGCCACATTTACAATTATGGCCTCCATAACTTGGCGTAGTACTCTTAATTTGATTAAGTTCTCCAATTTCTGTGAAGATTTTCACAGACAACGTATTTTAAAAAATCAGTATGTCAGTAATTACTGACATACTGATAACTCTTAATTCTGACACATGTAGTCCAGATATTTTTGTGTTCAGATTATTCTACCAAGGGTACTCCAGTTCAAACAAGAGCGTAGTTAACGTAAGTCGTGGGTTGAAATTACGTCTTAATGTCTAATGCATACCAGTGTTTAAAGACTGATAAACGTTTTGTAGTTAATTAACTACTAATAGTTTATCACATACTGCTACACCATATTCATTCGGTTTTTACTTTAATACATTGGCATTTTTAAACAAATTACCTCGCAATCTTCGATAAGGAGGGATAGTGTCGGGTCATGATTAGGTTTCGTTTCTATCATAACCTTTTCCCATACACTAAAATGAGATGAAATGACCAATTGGATTCGGGTTTTACCATTTCTTGTAAGCTTTTCGACTTTTTAACACCACACGTAGTTGTGTGAAATAGTAATACTGACCATTTTCTTTTCAGTACAAATGAAACAGTTTGGCATCAATTATCCTCAAGTAAATAAAGATGAAAACATTGTTGAGGAACACTTCGGTGTACAGGTGAGATAATTATTATCAATGTACTTTTTAACTAGTATTAATCGGTTTTAAAGCATTTTGCTTCCTAGTAAGACTATTATCTTCAGTTTTCTTTTAGTGAATTGTTTTCGGGATTGTTCCCGCGTTATACACATAAATCTCAGGGACGAGTGTTGATAAATAGTCTCACATATGTTTGTGCGGTAGAATGTGAGTATCTACGTGTTGTCCGTTGAGTTCCAGATTTTGCTTTAATGAGTCTATGCAACAGTAATGTGTATCCTTTTTATGTGTGTAAACGGTGTAATAGATTCTTGTCAGCATACTGGAGTAGTCAGCTGTACAGCTTGCATAATATTAGACAGCTGAAATTTCATGAAAAAGAATGACGCTAAACCTATTTTTGAAGTTGATGTTAAGTCAGATGATTGGTTCCTTGTGTAGGGTGACTGTGTTCCACTCTGTTTCTTTCGGATATACTTAATATCGCGGAGTGGTCCCGTTAATTTGAAATACGCAAATTTAGTGCCTTCAGGTGTTGACTAAATCAGGAGTCTCACAATTTCATGGACGAAAATCGAATTATGCTTGGCATGCGACTTGCCTCTATCAAATGCAGCATGTTTCTACTGAACCATTCCTAGTTGAAGAATGAGGAGTTAATTAATTGTGTAGGACACCACGTATTTGGAGACTTATGGCTTTCCCGATGAACTAGTTTCCGACGAACATGCAAGACTCGTTTTTCACATGTTAACATCTGCCATTTTCGATAGAAAGAATATCCACCTACATATCGAGTAACGTGAGTACTTCACAGAGGTATGGTATCTTCTGAATTACTGACTTTATAATTTAGAATTCGAACGCTTGTTCTCAAGTTCACTTGCATGTCCATTGTAGTTCTTTTACATTTCTTTTTTTTTCGGTGTTTGGCAACATAAGTTCCAATTATAAGTTTATGTGAAGTTCTGTATTTATTCATCATCACTCAATATTGCACGTTATGGCAGGTTATAGTGGCTAAAAGTAAGACTTTAAACATTGTTATATCCCTCTTGACTCTCTTATTATTGTACTTAAATACAAACTTGGTACTGTATTAGCACAAAAAATGCTTTGCACAAAATAATTCAGTTAAAATATATCAAAAAGAGGTATAAAATAGTTTAGCAAAAAGTGCAACTGGTAAATACAGTTTTGAAGATATTATTATAAGTCCCCATACTTTCATTTATTCACTTAAAACACAAACTTGTTACATTACGGGAACCAAGAGATGCGCCATGCGAATGAAACAGTTGCTTCATAGTTTGCACAATGGCGGGTATCTAGGCCAAAACGGGTGGTTGTTTTGAGGAACTGCCCCCACATCCTTTGATTTGAAGTTTGATCCACGAAATAGTATACCAGCGTGAGCAGCTACGTTCGCATGGTTAATGGTGAACAAAACAGGTTCATGCACTGTTTGATCCTTTCGCATTCTGGAGCCTACATACGCCATAAATGTTGAATCAGGGTTTTGCGGTTGCCGTAGGTAGTAGACCAGTATGTCCATCAGTCCGGTCGTAAGCTGCAGACGTTCTTATTCGTCCTTCCACTTATGCATTCGCATAGATTTGTATTTGCCCTAGGGCAGTGAGTAGGATCTACCTGTTAGAGGCTATAAGCGCGTGGCCACGTGAGATCACTTTAAAAGACTGCCCGAAGTCTGCGCACCCTCGGGCATGCCAGGTAATTTTTGGAGGCACACTTTCTCAAATGGCCTAGTCAGTTCCCTAACTATGGTCACTGTCCTTGGAAAAGTTATGTCGAATAAATTGTGGGGTCCGGGTGTGTAGAGGTGTCTTTGGGTTCGTGTTTGGTTGGGAGGATTAATGTTAACCAACCATGGAGCGCTGTAGCGCAGGAAATGAGCACTGGGTCTCTAGGCTGGTTAAATTGTTTTAAAACTATTCAATACAGAGTTACAGGTGTTTTTGTAAGCTGTTAGTTGACATATCATCTACTTCAATGACGCCATACTTGTTGTTTTCAACTAGTACACATGGATGAAAACAATAATAGCTTCACGGGTTAGTGGTAGGTTGTGTTCTGTATAAAGCTGCAGAAGATATCCATAGTCTTACCTTCAACCATCTGATCCTCACCGACCACCCAAATAACTCTTCTGAGTCTAGATATTCTACCTTTGAAATTAAGTTCAAAACAAGTACTATGATATCTTAGGAAAAATTGAAAAGGCAGCTGCAACGAAGAAAATTTTCTTTTCGACAAAATTACTAACTAGACTGTACATTCGTGTTTATACAGTAGAGGAGTGAGGAAAGTCTGGAACTGTTTTCAGTCAGGGGTCAAAGTATAACGAATAACTAGATTAGAAATTGTGATTGAAAACGTACTAATAGCAAAAATAAACAGGAATTTGGATAACAGTTGTTGAGAAAAATGAATGTTTATGTAAACTAGGATTAAAAATGTAATAATAGGAAAATAAACAGGAAGTTTGGATAAGAAATGTAATCAAATGATAATTTTTGGGAGAATTGATTGTTTACGATGTCCATGTTAAATACAAAGGTTGGACGTACTTCTTTTGGATACATAAGGTTGGCTTGGATTTTTGGATCACTAGTGCTTCATCTGCGCTCACATGTCATGATCTCATACCCTTTGATAGGTTTCATCGGATCTTGTACTGAAAACGTACTATTCAAGCTAACAGTTGGTGAAGTAATTTAAAGCACTACACTGAGATCTTGTGTGCGGGCCTCTCACATGCAGCACACATTATGGCCCCCTTGGGTTCTGGCCAAATCTACCTGTTGTCCGATTTGCATTGGTGTCTAAACATGGGTACATGGGAAGCTTAATAGTGACACGCAGTGTCAGAATGTTTTTATCAGACATCGCACTGAAGACCGGTCCTTTAAAAGCAATCAACCAACTAATCAGAAAGATATGGATGGACTGGGATTTCAAACACTACTGAACAAGTGATGGAAATGACATTTGTGAGAGTTATGAAATGTATGTATGTATGGAAATAATAATATGATGACAGTAAATTAAATGACTGAATATTTAATTGATAAAGTAGCGGGTGCAATTGGTTACAAGAGCATAGGGTACATTCGAGTTTTATGCTTCGTATGGAAGATGAGATGCTACCTGAACACCTAGCTAGAAGCAGATGTTTGTCTTACGAGACTATTCCCTAAGCTCTTTGCTTAAAGTTTAATCCTTAAGGCGACAGAGGAATATCAAAGGCTGCGTTCTTCTGGTTGGCGTTGACTATTTGGTTCGTTTGCCATTCGCTCATGTGCAGGGTTTTTCAATTCCCGACTGGAACCTCTATGTAACCTTTGTAGTCTCCTTTTCTGCTTTGTGGGACGTCCTCTGCTTCACGACGTCAGTGAACAGGATTTAGTTGGTAGACGCTATGAACTCGTGATCACACTAGATGTTTTCGAAAGAATACCGGGATCAACCCACGAGCGGCTGTTAAAAGCGATTTGTGATAACCCTCATTGGGTAACACACAACAATGAAGTCACTTATCATCCCATTGTCTTTGGCAGATATATCAAAATGAAGTCACAACAACACCAGACTATATACTTGACTCTTCTAAATGCGACAATACACATATTGAGGTGAAAAAATTGCCAAACATTCTTGGTTTTTTTAAATTAGTTCAGACACTTTTTTCTAATTATTATTTATCACTTCATTTTATTCTAACAAACGATCTTTTGGTTTTCAAATAGGTTCGTGACCCATACAGATGGTTGGAAGACCCTGACTCTTCACAGACCAAGGCTTTCGTTAAAGATCAAAATATTATAACAAATAAGTTTCTTAGTTTATGCCCGTACACTTCTAAAATAAGAGACCGGTAAGTTTAATTGCTTTGAAATATTTCTAGATTAACGGCCATCTGGGATTATGAAAAATACTCTTGTCCAATAAAATATGGCTCTTTTTACTACATATGGCATAACAGTGGATTACAGAATCAAAGGTATTTCTCCGGAGTGGTGTGTATGTTTTTAGTGTTCTTTACCAAATGACTTCACTATCGGGACCCACGAAGAAGTTTCTAGATCTCAACGAAGTTGACCCAGAAGGTCTTACATCTCTAAGGAACTGCAGTTTTTCACCAGAAGGAACCTATTTTTGTTATGGTATCAGTTTTGGGGGTTCCGACTGGTCTGAACTTAAGGTAAGAGTACATACTGTTTGTGAATATTTTCAGTTTAAAAACTGCGAGACAGGGGAAGACTTACCAGATGTTTTGCGACAAGTAAAATTCAGCTCCATTTCATGGACGAAGGATGAAAAAGGTGTATTTTACTGTATGTATCCTCAGCATAGTGGCAAAGCTGATGGAACTGAAACTACAGCGAATACGGATCAGAAACTCATGTACCATCGCTTGGGTACTCCACAATCAACTGATATCTTGTGTTCTGAACGCCCAGATCAACCTACTTGGTCTATGTGAGTGTAAAGTTTTATTTATCAGCATTTCAATAATTTGTTTGTTCCATTGTTATGTTTCGTAGTATTTGTAAATAAAAGTGTATCCGTACACCAGATTTTATTTATGTGTAACCATGTTTACTGTCTTTGTAAATGCAACCTGTCAGGTAAACACTCATCCATCAAGCAATGCATCATTATTTTACTTTTAACCATTGGCTCTCGCGTGTTAACATTCTGTTCTGCTGAATGAGATCTTTAAGGCTGATAGTATTATAAGTTGTCGCACAGCACATTTGACTAACAAACAGTCTAATGCACTAGTTAGGAAATAGCAGCTGAGTTGCAATTTTTACCATGATACCTTGGGGAAATACAGTCAATACAATGGGAATATAGTTTAAAGTTACCAACTGCATATTAGAAATAATAAAATGCTACTATTCACCGTAAATTATGTTTTTTCTTAGTTTTCAATCTCTTTGACCTGTATTACCAGCACTAATAACTCAAACCTAAAAACTGTCACCTATAGTTATTTGAAATGACAATCTGAACTGCATATTAGGTGAGAAGCTTCGTTGGGCAAAGCCGTAGAAAAATATCTGATCTTAAAATCTATGTTAATATGCTATCTTTAGGATAATAGTTCGAATGTGTGTGACGTCCCTTTGATTATAGGAGCTTGGTTTTGGGATATTCAGACCAGGCTAATTCATCAACTTAATCTGGAGGTAAAAATTTCATTAGATGGTTGGAAGCAGTCAGAAGAAAGCCTTAAACCTAGGTCTCGTGCTTGTTGGCACTCGTCTGCAAAGCGTATCTGTAATCTTGAGGGGACTCATGTCTCTTCTGGGATTTGAACCCGGGTCACCTAGTTACTCAATCAGACATGTTACTACTGAGTTATTCGGTCTCGCGATTGACCTCCTTTAAGACTATACTGGATGCTTCGATTAAACACTAGGTGGTAACTGGTGTTATGCATTAGTCCTTTGTCTGGTGCAGACTAAATTTTACCAGTCCAGTTTACAATGTGGCCACCATGCTAGGTGGATTGCTGTGACAGTGTTATCGTTATTAGATGGTTGGAGGTTATTCAGCAGGAAGTGATATCTGTTGACGTTCTGTTATCACTGATTTGGGTGCTCCACTTTAGTTAAACTTGGACACTGTGGTACTATGCAATACCATTTTTATTTTTGTTCATTATACAGATTACAAAGTGAAGTAGTAGTATTATTATCCAGCAAATAATACTGTTTTACTGTCAGATCTACACAATAAACAAATCAACACAGGGTAGATAGTCTGTAAGCGCTTCCGCTTACAGATGTTTTGGTAGCAAGGCAGTATCATTAGGCCTCATATTATAGGTTAGGCTGCCTGTCAAATGTATGCAAATGCATGTATTTGTTATTAGAACTCAGTTTCCCGAAACAGATTTCTCATGTTCCAGATTATGAATCACACTGATTGCGTGAAGGCTGATGATACTACACAACTGTCCAGGCTGAATTAGTAGGTGGAGTGGGATTTGAACCAGCGACTTACTTGTTGAAACTTGAATGCCTAAGTCAATGAACCATAACTCCATATGTAAATGCATGTTTACTGGTAACTCTGATAAAACGCTAGTTTTAAAATAGCATTAGCAATGACACTGTGGCTTCTAGCGTCAATCCCCCTAAAATATTAATTGTTTTTCAGTCTTTCAAAAATTGATTTTTGGATTATGACCTTACTTATGGAGTTTTAAAACTTAAAACTAATTTAATTAATTGAAGAAAGAGGATGTGTTTAAGAAATACCACAGAAATCAAAAAGTTACTAGTTTAAAAACGGCATATGCCAGTCGGAGTGTTAATCAAAACCTAGCCTCTTAGAAAGTGTTCTGACATAAAAAGACAAAAATAATCTTAAATTGACTTTGCTTCTAAAATCTCAACATTTACAACAGTTTGAAGTGCAACTGAAGACCAAGAATACATAAAATGGGGGAAAGTAGGATAAACTTTGTGATTGATTAATAGTAAAATCACTGTATTTATACTCTTTTAAACCAATGAACACTGACGTATCTAAAGAATATTCCATAGTACACTGTTTTGTTGTATTTTAATAAACAATGCTTCTATGACAATTGCACCGATAACATATCAAATAAAATTTCAGTACGTCATTTAATTTTATTTTTCGCGTTCGACTTCAAAATGTGCTTTCTTCTAAATTTTAGTCAAGGAGAGGTTTCTGATTGTGGACGTTATCTAATGGTTACTTTGTATGATGGTTGCGAACCTAATAACCAACTTTTCTATTGCGATCTTGAAAATATTGATTGGAACACCACAGGTGGGTTACTTTGAAGCCGTTTCATGTGAATCAACAGTATATTAATATAGTCTGTTTCTTTAGGTAACATGATTCGGTGATGGGGAATGACGTAAAACAATTATTTATTTCAATATAGTGAAAATATTCATTCCGACATCTATAAAACACAAAATAATTGAGCAAAGAATATCCTTTTCGATAATTTTTTCTTCTGGCTCTACAATTATATATATATATATACATATATAAATGTTTTTATGCATAGAATATTCTAGATTAGTAGTCAATATCAATATTAGTGTTTTTTAAATATCAATTTGTAAAGTAAGATCAATGGAATTACAGTTCATTAAAGATGATTAAATAATAATAATAATAAAGATATAATAGCAAATAGAATATCAACTAAAATTAGAAAAATTCCATAAAAGTTGAGGGTCATTCAAACCTAGGTGGCCAAGGTAAGGATAATGTCTGAACTAGCTTCTTTTGGACGTATAAATTAGGCTTCTTAATGTGAATCCCAACGGCCTCAGAAATATTTAGTAATCGAACTCTTAAGGCGAAATTAAGATTTGTTGGTATGCAGTAAATGACTCTGAAAGCCTGTTTAACTTCAATCTTGTATTCTGTATCCACAAGATGAGATAGAACAGCGCTACGAATACATTTTGATTGTCCTTTACTTAACCACGTAGGGTGATGTTCGGAAATCCGACAAGAAACACGCCTAATTGTACAGCCTATTTATTTCACTTAGTCCATGCTTGGCTTGGGTGTATTTTAGGTAGTGTGCAAAGGATTCAAGGGTTCTTAATCTCTTGGGGACATTTGATTTAGCTGCACTGTGCAGATGTAATTTTAAGTGAATAGTAACAAGATTATTGGGATCAAGTTGTTTTATTGTTACCAATGTCTAAAATCGAAAACCGGTCCTGAGTTAAAGTTCTAAGTGAGACGCTTCTGGATGCTGTTTTTACTTCTGGGCGTATTAAATTCAAAAGACAGTGTATACCCACTGAAGTGGATGTATCTTAGTCGACTGTGGTTTCATTATTTTTATGCATACTCTTCCGAAATGTGGTAACTTGAACTGACTCACTCTTGTATAAAATCCTACTTTGATAAGTTAATCGAATCAATCAGTTATCTAGACGTCTTCTGTAGAAGACCAACTAACTTAAGAATTTCAGGACGACTAATTCCCGTTGTGAATTTTGACGGAGAATAAAGGAACGTATTTTATTTGGATCGTGTAGTATAATTGTAAAGCATATTTGAAACAATGTAATCACACGAATACTTTTAAAAGGAGAATGTATGTGAAGAAGAACAAATGAAAGTATATCAAACGAGAAGACCAGAGAAATGTATAAAGCAAGAAATTTTTTGTTTTTCATTCCTTTGCATTCTTAGGGCTTCAAGATCCTCCAGCTCTGAAGTTTCGGTAGCAGTGAATGGGTGGTGTTTTTACATAGTGGAGTTACTAGACTCACGCCTAACCTTCCGCCTTTACCGAACTTGCTGCCAGCTAAGTGAGGTTTCGGAGTGCATCAGCTGGGTATCGAGACACGTAATGGTTTTGCATCTACTTTGAGATGTATGCTTGTATTCCTTATCCTTTATAAGTTAAATACCAATATTCATTGTTAGTTCATCTGAAATGAAGTTGCGAAGGTAGACCTCCATATATTTGCATGCCTTCACAATTTCATTAGGAGAATACATTTTTGTTTTTCAGTTAAATGTTTTTGCCTCCTCAATAGAGATGTTTATTTTTCCCAATGACTTCAGGATAGCATTCATAATAATAATAATAGCTCTATTCCAAACAGTACTTTTGGCACAAATATAGAATTCTCAGCGTGTAGTTCAGTGTTGTATCTAACTTCTATCATTACCGGGGTAATGATTAAAACAGGCCAATCATATTTATGACATTATTCAATAACAATATGAATATAAAATTAAGTGAGAATCTTTACAACAATATAATAGTGAAAGAAAGAATAAAGAGGGCCGTTCACTTGGTGTTTCTCAGTAGGTTAATAGTGTCCTGTCTTACAATTTTATCACCACATAAAGTGTGTACCCAGATAAAGTATTGTAGAGTTTTTGTACTCAGTCGTTTGAGCATATAGTCTCCTATAGTTGGCTGTAGTTCTACCCAGTAAGATGCATGAAGTGAGTTGTGTATAGAGACGGATGCTCAGGGTCCGACAAGATAATATTAGCTAATTTCTTGTATGAGTTCAAGTGTCTATCCTACAACAGTATTAAGGAGTTGGTTTAACGACATCCCATCCACTCTACTCTCAGCTTTTAGTACCCTTCTAAGGGTAACAAAATCTTTCTGAGGTAGCCCAGGAAAGATTAAGGAGTAGAGTAAAGAAGGATAGGTGGAATACAAAAAAAAAATTAACTAACTTAGAAAGTAGAAACTTAGTAATACCAGATTGTCTTAACTCGTGTACGTAGAAAGCTAAACGAAATATCTTTATAGAAACTAACAAGATGGCAGAAGACTAAGAAAGATCAGAGGAAATACACAATTCAAGGTATTTACCATCTTACTTAGTTTCAACTTCTGGACCATCTATGATAATGGAACCATGCGAATCAAACAGTTCTAGTGGTTGTCAAATTAATAGCCGAAGTTATAAGATAACTCCTAATCTATCCACTAGTATTAACTAAGTGAATTTTCCACTTTGTATTTTTAAAGAAAAGCTTAACTTGATTCCTGTTGTGGATCACTTCGAAGCTGTTTACGAATATGTGACAAACGAAGGCGATTCATTCGTATTCCGTACTAACTTAGACGCTCCAATGTACAAAATCATCAGAATCAATTTCGCCAATCTTGATCGTGTAAGTTGAGCCATCCATGATTATGATATTGTTTAATCAATGTGTTTTCCTATACCATTTCGGTGCTTTCATATCTCTATATACTTCCCGTTGTTGAATCTGTCATCGGTTGACTTTTAAAAAAAGCTTAGCAGCTCTCATTGTAACGACAGAAGACAAGGACCAGACAACAGATTGTTTATTGAGAAAATCAACAGATATTTATAGATTTTTATTCGAAGAGTAGGCTTAGTACAACAGAATGCATCTCTAGTTTCCCTGCACTTGTCTACACTCAGACTGTCTCAACTAATCAATTCCCCATAGGATAATTCTCTTGTCCTTTTTAAGTACAAAGATGTTGTCATGATGTTTGTTTTTTAATATGCAAACCTGTATATGGAAGGGGAGTTGTAATTAAACCTATCATGTATTCCAAAAAATAATTAAGAGTTTTTGTGATTGATAGTTTTTACGACAAGTGGTTACTAGCTTTACTCACCTCAATTATTCTTGAGTGTATCAATTCAATTGTGTCATCTGTATGGGTGAATGCATGGATTGTATTCGTATGTGAATAGTTCTTGTTTTGAGACAATGTCTTCCACTTTACACTGTGTGTTACATTCATTTTTTTTCCGTTTTGTTAATCACCGCAACGATACTTTTATTGTTTGTTATAGAAATATTGGGAAGATGTTATACCTCACAATTCAGGATCACTACTGGAAAATGCTGTGTGTGTAAACCAAGACAAGTTGATAGTTTGCCACTTAAAAGATGTAAAGGTCAGTACAATATCATATAACCATATCCATAATATACGCGTTATATTGGCCAGCGGCATTTTGAAACTCTTTTCTATGGTGTCAATTATTTATTGAATTAGTTGTGTTCACTGAACTGGTTGATTCAATTGCAAAGCTTTCGTCGTCCTTCTAGACAACATCCTTCTTCAGCGCAGGTTTTAGTATAAAATGAACATATTTGAATTCTCCAGGAATGATTTAACTGTATCCCCTGGCAACCACTGTCGTGACTAGCTGTTCATTTACGTCTGTAGTGGTCATTTTTATTGACTTGGAACTCAAACTTTCTTGTCATTTGATTTACTTTTCATCAGCTGGTAAAGTTAGTCTATAATAATGTGCTTTTTAATTGCTAATTCACTTGAGTACTGGGCTTCTAGGAATTCTCTGGCAGTATTTTTGGTGTTTCTTCTACCTAAAATTTCTGCATTATACCAATCATAGGGGTGTCCATAATTATCTACATGCATTGATACGAAAGAATAAATATATCATGTCATTTTAAAGCAAATTTATGTTCTTGGATTCGGATTCGAAGGGGACGCCCACTTTAACCGATGTAATGATTATTGCAGTTCATACAGTTTATTTTGCATGTCGTCTTAATTTTATCTTCTTTTTTCGTTGTTGGATCTTTTGGTTTGCACAACATCGATTGAAGTGATTGTGCTGGCTTGTGTACTATATCCATTTCAAGCGGTCTTCATATTTTAGCTGTTATTTCGGATATATTTTTAATATATGGTAGGATCAATTTTCCTGTGCCTATTGATGTTGGCTTGTTGTTGGTGTTACGACTCGAGTTTAAACACTTTTTGATGAAACTGCGAAGATATCAGTTCTTTTTATTTATTATTAAAACTATTCTTATTTAGAAATTCGTATCTATTTATTAAACCGTTTCTGAAGAAATGATGATATTTCCTTATTGGAAATTGGAAATACTGACTAAAATTATAATTGTTTTTTGGAAATTCGAGGACATTGTTTCGTCAGTTGTTTTTCTTTTTTCGTTACACACAATCAACTTACGTTCTAAGATTATCAGTCTGAGCGTTATTGGACTTTTCACTATCTTTAAACTTTAACCTGATAGTTGTATCTCGCATAAAGCAGCTTCATACTAAATCTCCTGTGTTATGCTTCATCCAGGATCTATACTTTCCCGTATTTTTTTCTTGTTCTAACAACTACAGACACTGTCACTGTAGCAGTGTAGTGATTCACAGCCCATTACAGTGTTGTGGAACATAGCATCGATGGCATAATACCCAAAGTGAAATGCTTGCTTTATCGTTAATATGTTTACTGAACAAATCTGTCACAGTCCCTACGGCAACTCAAAAAGTCTAGTTGTGTTTTCTGTGACTTCAGCTGTATCAGACACGTCTTCTTTGTGTGTCAGCTTTGAATCGCATAGAAAACACGGTTGAAAGTACGCTGTGTCTATGACTGTCAAAAAGTGCACAGTGTATATGTGCACTATTCTCATCACACCTAGTTCGAGATTGAATAGGAATTATTTTAAGTGCTGAAAAACCAAGTGAACAGTTCTTCAAGTAATATGTGCATCTTTATTTACATTGATTCAAGTGCTGGGTGCTAGTTGCCCATTCGACTTTCAACCTGACTCGAACTCTTTCCTGCCGATTTCGATAGTGGTATAATATTATCATTTTTCATGGCAATGTTTTGCTCATAATGTAGTACGAGAGATTTCACTAGCTGACATCAGTTAGAGAACCAATGGAAAACGAGGGAGTACTGGACAACTGTTTAGTCCTAGTGCTTGGGACTCTTCAGCTCGTTATCAAACCTGTAACCGATCAAATCCCTACAATCCTACATTTGATAATCTTACATAATTGCTGAGATGAGCTATTATAGTAGGGATGTTATTAACTTCCCGATGTATATTTCTAATTGAAATGGTAATAATGCTAGAGGACCGTTTCGCTAATTGGTAATAAACGGAATTAGAATTCTAAATCTCGTAAGAGATATATTACCTCCTAGTCGCTGGATGTTTCGTTGTTTATTGAATTCTCAGCATAGTCAAGAGCATTCATCATATTCGATGTACTTGTATCAGTGGTGTATTGCTTAAATATTTCATGCGGAATTGTTCAACAAGGTTCATTTTTGTAAATATTTTGAATTTTCTGTATATACTGTAGAACTGTTTTTATCTCACACAAATAATACTGTAATACTTTTGTTTTTAGAGCTGTTTGTCAGTACACAAACTTCTATCAGGGGAGAAAATGCTGGATATCGATATACCCGTTGGATATGTGGCTAATGTTTCCGGAAGAAAACGTGATAATGAGGTGCGTTGTAATCTATACATTGATTAAGACAAAAATTACTACTGTGTTTTTTTTCTCTTCAACATAGGCTTTTATTCACTTCACGTCTTTCCTCACACCTGGAATAATCTATGCCTATGATTTTTTGCAGTCGCATCCAAAGTTACAGGTAGGTAGTAAAGTTTCCTGATTGTCCCACTTATGATTTTCATACACATGTATATTGTTTACCGTTTATTTTATTTCTCTGCAGTCCGAGTGGAAACTTTGGGATTCGAGCTTCAGCTTTGTAGTTTCAGTAGCAGTGGTGCTTTTTTTTCTTAACAGGGTGGAGTAGCTAGTCTCACGCCCAACCTTTTGGTCTTTAACGGGCTTACTGCCGGCTAAGTAAGATTTTGGAGTGCATTGGCGGGATACCGAATCCAGACTAGGCGGATGGTTGGCGAGCACTGTACCACTTAACTACCACCGGCGCACGCATATATGTATACATATCCGTTCCATATCCTACAAGACACTAAAGATATACTGGCTTGATTTCTCCTAGCCACTGAAGTTTGATCTGTCTGTTTGAAAATTGCGTAGTGGATATTTAAAAATGAATCAACCTCGCCATATCATATGGATATCAGTTTCTCCTACCAGTTTTTAATCCTAGTTGTAAACTGAGCAGTTGTATTGTAATTTCTCATTATCCTCATAGCTAGCCCCAGTGGGCACATCACAGGTGTACATAGAAATAACACATTAGATTAGTTCATTCGATAGAACATACAGTGATACAGCATTAACAACTGGATGACGTTTCGAGCACAATTGATTACTCATAATCATATCAATTTATTCACAGTGCTTTATAATTTGTTTTATATATAATTTACATGCAAGTGGATGCATTGCAATGTCTGAGTTTTTTTCTAATTTATTCAACTTAGCAGCGTCAATCATTCTAGGTCAAGCTAAATTTTTATGTCCCGATAATCTAGTTAACCCTGATCTACTAGTTTGACCTATATAGAATTGACCTCACAACCATTACATGGTATTTGGTAAATTATATTATTTTTCTTAGTGTTGGATCTATTGGGTCCTTAAGCCGATAAAGTTTATCATTGACAGAGTTGGCTGGTTTAAATGTCATCCTAATTCCAGCCTTATCAAGAATCTTACTCTTAGAATATTGATAGGTTGAAATGTGTTTCATTCTAGATGTTACGTTTGCGAATACAATTGACAGTGAAATATAAATAATTTAAAACAAACACGGAATGATTAGTGCTGCTGCATCTTTTCTTGCCTCAGTTATAAAGTTATCAGATTAAGTAAAGAAAATAATCGATTTCTAAAGGATTTCTTTGAAAACAGGCCATTAGAAATACAAACTGTAGACTTCTGATTTCATAATTCAACTTTTATCAATGTCAAAAAGGTTGCAGTTGCACTACATATCGCAAATTCTCAGCAGGTCATAGGATTGAGTCCCAAATTCTAAAATGGTTTACCAGCTTGCGTTGTAACCAGATCTTGGGTTCGAATTCTAATGGATACGTACTGGTAAGGAGTCTCAAACTAGGACGAAACACCTGCCCACCACACCCTGGTTTCCCACTGGCTCTGTAACTGATATCAGCTCATGATTAAATCTGTAGACATTGAAATCCTTGCAAGGCAATAACTGAAAATCTGGATTATGGTAAAGTTTGTGTGAGCATTTTAGTTAATTCTGTCGAGTTGAGGACTAAACGCAGTTAGCGTTAATTACTTTCATGATTAAGATACCTTATACCTTTCTTTGTTCCTTTATAGTGATATTTCTGTGTAGATTATACTTATGTATTTTTCGTGTTGTATTAATGAAAAATTTTTTTATTCCTTTACGTTCCCAGTGAAACATAGAGCTTCAAGCTTGAGTCAGCTTAAAGTTTCCGTAGGAGTAGTGTTTATTTTTAAGGGATGGGGTTGCTAGCCTCATACCAGTCTTATTACCGGCTTACCGAGGTAAAGGAGTGCGTCGGGTGGGGATCGGATGCCGGACCACATGCGTGGTCGGCGAGCATTCTTCCGCTGCGCCACCGATGCACAAACCACACAGTGTTGTACAGTAATATTAACTGATGACTGATTTGAGTGACTTGATATGATTATGAGCAATAATTTGTGCTCGAAACGTTATCAGTTAATATTACTGCACAACACTGTGTGATTTATCAAAATAAAATCTCATCCATAATGGAGTTATACTCTACCACAGTGCCCAAGTTTTATACTTATATCAATAGTACTGTTATTTGGCAAAAGTATCTCCTTTTCGGAAGCGGCACTGAATGCCGTCGTCACTGGGAAACGATAGAGACTTTTCGTTTTCATCTGAAACTCTACTAAATGCTTTATTCGTCAAAGTTATCAATTCCTGCTTCGAATAATGCTGTTTGTGACTTAAAAAGACATTCCACCGTAGTTCGTATTTAAAATTCGATAGTTGCGAAAATGTACAACAAATTATAAATGAGCTTGTGCACTTTCTGTATGGCTCTGAAACATGGCCAATACGAATTGAAGACATGAAAAGGTTGACTGTTTTTGATCATAGATGTCTACGATCTCTTTCTCACGTTAGGTGGCATAATAAAGTAAGTAATGTTGACGTCAGGCGTAGAGTGTTGGGCAAAGAGGGAAAATCAATCGACGAGGCTATTAAGTTACATAGATTGAGATGGCTAGGTCACGTGCTGCGCATGCCTAACCATCGCCTCTCCCGACGGGCATTACTAGCTGATATAGGTGCAGGTTGGAAAAGAGTAAGTGGTGGCCAAACAAAAACATGGCATCAATCCATGAAATCCTTGACAGTTAAACTGAGTCAGGTAGGGAGATGCAGACTTCCGGGTTGGGTCCCTCAGGACTCTAAGAATCAATGGCTGGAGACAATAGGTGACATGGCTCAAAATCGTTGTCAATGGCTTACGCAGATGTATTCAGTCTCTGTAATCTTTCATATTCCTTTCTACCATTACTCATTCTGTCTGACTCTTATACTTGTCAAAACTCTGTTGATTCTCTTCACTCATCTTCTTGTCTACCTTTGTGTGCTATTTGGAACGTGGCAACTGAAACTGCTGCACTTCTGTGCCAACTTCTATGTTGAATCCATCCAGCCAGCCTTATTGCCATGCTTTTATGTGTTCCACCATGGAATAATTTTAATTGATAAAATATATGATTATGCAGTATTATTTACTGATGATGCTTCAAAAACAACAACTTGTTCATCATAATCATATCAAGGACATTTCTGAAATATTTGTTATGTACACATTTCCGTGTATACATTGATTGGTAAAAATTGCGGAGGAATTAGAGTCAAGCCTCCAAAGCCTCAGGATGGTCGGGGGTGGGTGCCTTGCGCTGCGGGTTGGCCACCCCTCCTCACACCTCTTGGAATGCTCCCATATGACCGGGCGTCCTACATAGCCTCTCCTGAGACAGTCCTACTCACTGCCTTCACGTGGCGGAGGTGTTTCTCACCAAAGTGAGAGGGCGAAAGCGGATGCCCGGCGCTCTTCACCGGGTTGACTGTCCATTGGATGACAGTCTAGGGGAGATGGCTAAACCCTGATTCCAAACCTCCAACGACTGGCGTATGAAGCTCACTGGAGCTCACCGGTAGACGTATGGACAAAGGGCTTGTTGGATGTCCTGGATGTCTGGCCCCATTCAAAAAGGCGTATGAACCGAACTTCGGTCACCGGCTGCCAATGGATATTGGACTCCCTACTCCACTCCTACTGCCTTGTAGGTCACACTTGGTTGTGTAAAGGCTAGAGCTGCACTCTCAAACAAAAGACCGAGCGATTCTGGGGACATCACTCGTACCAAATTCATGAACTCTCTTGCAACGTTGCCTTCGGTGGTTTGGCCATGTTCTGCGCCGACCAGATGACGATCTGGTCAAATCAGTTCTAAATCCCTCGTCATTACCATCTTGGCGATGTCGCAGGGGTGGACAGCTGAAAACATGGCTTGGTACAGTCAAGGCTGATATGGAGTGCCTGGGGCTACAAACCGCCTACGGACTCCGTCTGTGGAACAAGAATTGGATAACCCTGTCGCAAAACCTTGCATCAGATCGCCGCGCCTGAGCAGCGATGATTCGAGATGTTCATGAAGCCGGCTCATCCTCCCGTAGGAGATAGCCGAAGTAAAGAAGAAAGTTAAGACAATGACACTTATAAATCCTCTAGCATTGAAACCAGTCCACATAGATTACATGATATATACATGTTGTTCAGTGTAGCTATGAGACCTATTACCCTAACATTATATATATATATATATATATATATATATATATATATCATAATCTCTCGTGGTAATTACAATCTGTCTCCTTTTTTTTCTCTCTAATAACTACTCACATGAGTGTAGGTTTATTTCCTAATATTCTTCTTATTTATTGATAGGTTATTCGTGAATCAAAAGTTCGAGATGTGAACTTAGATCAGTTTGAAGTGAAACAAGTATTTTACAAGAGTAAAGACAATACAAATATTCCTATGTTCCTTGTTTTACCTAAAGTGAGTTGAAATTGTGTACTGTTATCCTCTTCTTTTGAAGAGGATACACTGATTCAGCCCATTCAAATCATCAGTTGAATGCATTTTCTCGGTGTAATCACTTATCACTCCACACATCTTTGACAACATTATCGCCCTTACAAAAATGATTACAATTCACTTGATGAAATTAGATAGTTGAAGGCAGTCGGCATTGCAAGCCTGACTGATAGAATTCAGTCTGCATGAAAGAAAGGACTAGACACGTCACACTAGTTACTAGTGTTCAATCAAAGTATCCACTACAGTCCTACAGGAGGACGATGGTGAGTCCGAATAGCTCAGTGGTAACGTCTCTGACTGAAGGTGGCACCGGGTGACGCGGATTCGAATCTCAGAAGGGACATGAGTTCCTTCAAGGTTGCAGATACGCCTTGCTGACGAGTGCCAACTAGCACGAAACCTAGGTCCAAGGCTTCCTGCCGATTGCCTCCAACCATCTAATATCATGAAATCAATACGTACCGTGATGGCGAGCTACCTAGAATGGTGGCCACATTGTAAACCTGTCTGGTAGAATTCAGTCTGCACCCAAGGAAGGACTAGACACGTCACACTAGTTACTAGTGTCCAATCAAACAATTCAATTGATTCTTTTTTAACATTTAGCCAATGATATTGTACGGAGGCTGATGACCTTAGCCTGTGTATACTGATTGACTGATTTTTTTTCAACACAGAATTCTGCACAAAAGTACACAATTCCAATTTGCTAGACTTTATATAGCACACGAAGGTTAGCTGTGGATAACGAGTAATAGCATACATCTGAAGTTTGAAGTTAATTAAACGAAATTATGGTAACCACTTTCTGAAAGATGTTTTCTACAACAGAGGTTCAATAGTGATGCCTACTTAAATGTCAGTTGCAAGCCGTTTCCACATTACAACCCAACTGTTGAAACAATTTTCAAAACATTTCACTTCTCTTTCCTCAACGTTAAAGCATTCCTTGGTGTGTGTGTGTGTGTGTGTGTGTGCGTGGGAACACTGCTGCGTAGAAATCAAATGTACATCTGTATTTAACTATACTGTGCACCATATAATCTGCATGTACAGTCTCTGAATACGCTTTGTGTTGGCCCTATCGCTTTGAAAAGCCTTATAATCCAGCTTTAGATGTGTTATAATTGTATTGTCACAGTTGTAGAACATTTCCCTTGTCATGTGGTGTTCTCATGCTATCTATTATTATTTCCTTTCAGAACTTTCATCGAGATGGGTCGGCACCATGTCAGCTTTATGCCTATGGTGGATTTAATATATCTATTACTCCGTCTTTCTCTGTAGCACGACTTCTGTTTTTGCTACACTTCGGTGGTATTGTCGCTGTGGCCAATATACGCGGTGGAGGGTTCGTTTTATCGTGAAATTATTTTGATTATACCCTTGATTATGTGATGCTTTTCTACACAATCGATATCTGAGCTTAATAGCAATGAGCAGAATATGTCAACTATATCTGATCCACTTTTTTTTCTACTCAATCTCGGCACAAATCGAACCCAAGACGTTGAAGTTACTAGGCCAAGCTCGTTGACCATTCAACTCCTTGGGCTGGAATCCAGTGGCTTATTAACTCTAACGTCTGTCAATTCCTGATTTCAACGCGACTGCTGGCCAATGTGATTGACGAGTATCAAACTTCAAACAAATCAGATCCCTACAAATTAGCTCTTGAAAATTAATCTGCTGCTCAATAGTGAGTGGATACAAGATGCAGTTGCTTGGAGTTCTAGTGGGAAGACGCAACAAATGCGGTTCTACTGGGCTGGGTATAAGAAGGAATACTCGCCAATGATATTGGCCGATGGTTGCGCTAAAATCGCCAATTGACAGAAGTTAGAATTCATCATCCATTGGATTTTTTTAAAATCTTGGTCGAAGACTAAATGAAACTCAGGGAATCATATGCAAGAAATGTAGAGCAGTCACGGTGTTGCAGAATCAGGCTTTTCTATCTCACAAACTACGCACAAGTACGTAATGGTTTCAGATCGTCCTGACCTGAAGTCACTTATCTCTCATTGCATTTCGGTCAAACAACACTGGGAATTTTAAGACCTTTGTACACACGGATTCCTAAATGGTAAACAAATCTTATGGAAACACGGGATTTAGCGGAAGAAGCAAGCAACAGACATGTAGACTTTCAGATTGTTTATGAAGCTGTCAGATTCTAACGAAAGACAATAAAGTGAAATTTAAAATAGTGAATACTCAGAAGAACTCACAATTTAAATATAATGGGGACGATTTGTAGCTCAGGTGGATGATTCTGATGTAGTTGCGTTATCTAAGGTGGATGATTTATTTGCGAAGCTTTCATTACCCTACTAGACAAAATCTCCAGCCCACACTTCACTTCAAATTGAAGTATGCGCTGGAGATGTTGCCTAGTAGGGTAATGAAAGCTTCGCAAATAAATCATCCACCTTAGATAACGCGACTACATCAAAAAGAACTCACGATAAATGACAGATAAGTTGCCCATTGTGTGCCATGGATTACAAATGGTGTGAAGTGTAACACCGTTTTATCCCATAAACTATGTACAAGGATGTAAGCTGACTGAAGCATAAACTTAAAAAAATCGATTAGTAAAATGTTGAGTCGAAAAGAAGAGGAAGGAGAAAGGCAATCAATCCGTGTCACTATCAAGAGAACAGTACATTGACTCAAACGAGCTTTATATATACAGAAGCTCAAACAAACAGGGCAAGTAAACCATGAGAATATCTACAAATTTGATCTGTAAATGTTTGATTACAATATGAAAACTGTGAATTGCACAGTAAAAGTTATTCAAAACTGATATACATTGATTTCTAGTTCAACATAACAACGACATCACTGACCTTAAAAAAAACAAAAAACAACTACATCAGTTTACAGTTGACATAGTTTGATAAGGGTTACAGATGACTAGATAGCCAGTTGGACCTATGTCTATGTGGCATGAGATATGAAAATTCTTGTCCAAAGCGAACTTGGCTTATTTTTCTATGTGATATCGCAAGTAAAATACAGCTAATATATGAATAAGACTATCATCTTCTGTAACATTAATACGGAGTTAATAAGGATGTCAACAAGTACTATTGACCTGTGCGTCGGTGACACAACGAGTAGGACTCTCACCGACCATGCACATGGTCCGGGGTTCGATCCCCTGCCGACGCGCACACGATATCAATGGTCGGCCTGCAAAATTTGGGCTACCGATATCACATGCTGAAAATTCCATACTTGTACAAAAAATACGGTGTGGAGTCAAGCTATATAAAAATAATAAAAAACAAAACAAATGAATAATAAAACAACACTCAGCGAATGCTGTAATCCAACGCGATAACGTCGCTCTATTGTCAGGGGAGATGGTCACAAAAGGCTCCCTCACCTCCATGCCCAAAATCATTCGACGATAGAAGTAACGGACGAGGATAAGGGCGATAAGTATACAGGATTATTATACAACAAGTAAAAAAATGCGTAGCAAAGATCTATTACAATTCTAAGTTGATGAAGCATAAAATTAGACAGCTTAAGCAGGTAAATATAACGCATTCAGCAGATTAGCTACGTTTCGGATCTTCTACTACAACTGACAGTCAAACTGCATACTTCCAAACATTTGGTGACACAATATAAACATGGAATTACTTGAATGTATTCTCTCTCTCATTTTTAAAGATTTCATTTTGGCTTCAAGTTTTTCTCAACAATATTGTAGGTCATTTATATTATTTTCACTTCATTGCTATTGTCCTTTTGATTAGACCGATTTCAGCTGACAGTGAATTGCATAAACTTCGGTTGTTGTTGTATCTCTCTTCTGATGATAGTCGTCCGTATAAAGGCTACAGTCCTATTTTTTGTGTGTTGTAATATCTGTTCATATGCTTTTGTATGGTCAGACTTTTTGTAATGCTTTCTTTATTCTGTCTGTTCATATCGCTCGTATTCATTAATTTTGTCTTGTTTTTTTGTTTTTATTACCAGAGAGTATGGTAAGCCTTGGCATGATGCTGGACGTCGACGAAATAAGCAGAATTCATTTGATGACTTCCAGTCAGCAGCTGAATATCTCATTAGCGAGAAGTACACAAACAACCAAAAGTAGGTGTACTATCTTACCCATGATTTTCACTCGATATATATATATATAATGATTCTTCAAGGGTTCAGGATCCTCCCATGTATTTGTTTCAGGTGTGTAGTATGGAAAGTGTTATTTCCTAAAGGTGTACATTTTGAGCACTCTAGATTGTGAAAACCAGAAGCTACGAGCAAGCATCATTTTACCCAGTCATGTTGGTAACGGATAGAAAAGATGGCTATCAGATACCTTATTTTGAGCATTGTTTGTTGTTAGCTGATATAGGGCCAGGCTGGAAAAGAGCTAGCGGCGGTCAAACGAAAACATGGCACCAGTCAATGAAATCCACAACAGTTAGTCCAAGCCACGTAGGAAGGTGTAGACTTCCTGGTTGGGGTCCTCGGGACGGTAGAAACCAATGGTTGGAAACAATTGGTGACATGGCTCAAAATCGTTCTCAATGGCGCAGATGCATCCACTCCTTGTGACTTATGATTTCCAACTAAACTGTTTTGTTCTCCGTTATTACCATTCCTTTGTCTCACACCTCTGTTTACTGTCTATATTATGCAGTTCTTCTACTTTCTTCTCTTGCTTTGTGTGCTACATGGAGTGTGGCGACTTGAACTGCTGTACATATGTGCAAAGTTCTATGTCGAAAACCGACCGACCGCATTGTTTGTTGACTCAGAAAATGGTAATACTATTCAGGGCCAGTCCTACTACTTATTTCTTGCATAATCCAGGGATATACTGAGGTGCTGGAAATGCCTGCTGAACCTTAAGTTGACGTATTTTTGCTAGAGGTTTTCGGTTGATGCATTATTTGAAAAGAGAAAGCGTTTACGCGGTTCAGAGCTCTGCATACCATTTGGCATATACAGACCTACAAAGAGAGGGTTTGTTTACAAATAAAAATAGCAAGCCTAGATCAAACATGAGGAGAGGATATTGATAGTGTCATATTGCTGCAAAGATAATTTCACTGTAGAGTAGTTAACTTATTTCCTAAGCTGCTTGAAACACCTTCAACCTTTGTCTCTGTGTGTTCCGTTTCACTTTTTTTGGTGGTGTTTTATTTCAACTGAGGAATATATATAGTCTCTACTGTTCTAAGTATGCCAATTAACTCAGTTTCAGCCTTTTTGTAATCATTAATTTGTCGGGAGTCATTTAGAAAAGGCATATTTTTTTTTTCCTATTCTAGATTATATATTCAAGGTGGAAGTAATGGAGGTCTCCTGGTGTGTGCTTGCTGCAATCAAAGACCGGATTTATTCGGTGCTGCTATTGCTCAAGTCCCTGTTTGCGATTTGGTTAGATTCCACAAATTTACTATTGGTCATGCTTGGATAAGTGATTTTGGCGATCCTGAATGCGAAGAAGATTTTCGTTACTTAATAAAGTAAGTTGTGATTTTAAAACAGCTTTTCTTCTTAGTTATAATCTCAGTTTTGTGAAGTTAGTATTTTATTAGTGCAAATAACTGGTTAGCTTTTCGTAGGCATTTCTGAACCACTTTTAGCCTTAATTAAAAATCATGTAACTTTAGCATTCTTTTTATGAAAGATAGAAGTGCTGGAAAAAGGATCAAGTCTGAAATGCAGAGGTTGAATGTAATATATAACCAGAAATTCATATCCTGCAAAAATGCTTCTAATATGTGGAAACTATTTAAGGAAATCATTGATGGTAAGCAGATAAACAATATTCCGTATTCTTTTGATGTATGTACTCTGAATAAATCTTTTATTTATTCTACCTCAAATGCCATGCTTCCCAGCATCACTAGGGTTAATAATATCCCCTTTCCAGGTTTTAACACAAATGATTTTCAAAAGTGCCTCAAGTCTCTGAACCCTTCCTGGAGCTTAGGTTCAGATTATGTATCTAGTATTATTTTTTTTAAATGTTCTGATATTCTGTCACCCTCTCACTGATCTATTTAACAGATCCTTTTCCAGTAATATTGTGCCTGCCGTTTGGAAGGACATTAAAGTTGTACCCATACCTAAATCGTCTACTGGAGCATGTGTCAAATTTAGACCCATTACTATTTCCTCTCCTTTTTTGAAAACTATGGAGAAATTACTTTTACTTAGTCTTGTACCTTCGCTTAAATCCTTTAATGACCCTAAACAATTTGCCTAGAAGCACAGTAGAAGCACTTTAGATGTAGCTGCCGCGTCTTATATCATAACATTACTTCCAGTCTAGACAAGGGGGCTAAATTTGTTCGTTGTGCCTTCCAAGACTATACATCTGCTTCTGACTCGGTCCCTAGGGACATCTTATTAAATAAACTTGCTGCAAGTCAAACAGAATGTTGGGCTGTTAACTGGTTACATTCCTATTTCTCAGAAAGAAAGCAGTACACCGTGTATAAAGGGAAGTCTTCCACTTCATTGCTTACTGAATCATATCTTGACATTGCTGATGGGTATCATCTTTGACACCAATGTGATGTGCGGGTATCCACCTATGAGCGTATGTACCATGCAACAGTTCACCACATTCTACTTCTCGTCTGTAGGGCAGTTCCCTGTGTTAGTTCAAGCAGTTTAGTTAATAATAATAATAATAATGAGGTTAGGTAAAGTAGGAAGTTCAATCTAAACGATTTTGACGCCTTACCGATTAAGATAGTTAGGATATGGGTTCACTGTGCTGAACCAACAGCGAGCAGTTGTAGTTGAAATAGACCCAGTGATGGTTAGATGGAAGCATGACACCAGTCGATGAAGTCTTCGACTGTTGGAGTGTGAACCACTCAGAGAGGAGTAAACTGCCTAGCTGAAGTCCTTAGGCTGCTAAGAGCCGCATGTTTGGCGACTGTTCACAATCTGATTCACTGATGTATTGGCTTCCTTTCATCTTCTAGATTCTAGAACTATTCACCAGTCTTCATTTAATATTTTTTATCCGATACGTTTTCGTCCATCGTAGTTTCACACTATATATTTGTTTCTTCTACTTGTATGAACACTTTTCCAAAGTATGGAGATTGGAACTGATGTACTTTTGTACAAGGTTCCGTCTTGGTAAGCCAGTCCACTGAAAGAAATGTTGTAAATAAATTTGTGAAACGTAAACGTCAAAAGTTTAGGGAACGGCAGCAGTATATAATAAATCGTGGCTACAAGTTTATGTTTTCGTTAGACTTAAATTGCGACAAGCCAGATTTGAATACCTTAAGCTAGTTTTGTTTCCCTATTAGCTTGTATGCTGTTAAGTACCAAGAATAATCTGTTACACATAAGTGGGACGAATTCAAGGAGAGGCACATAATTATTCTTGAATGATATCGTTTCTTTAACTTGTATCTGAATTGCTACTGATTAATTGTCTTTTCATGTACTCTTAAGGTAATCTGTAGACGAACGTGGTTATTACAATAATTCCTATCGAAGCTGTGTGTCAGCTGTACTGAAGGGTGCTAGCATTTGCAGACTTTTGTTTTTGTTTGTTTATCTGCATATTCCTTGTATTTATTTGTATACTGTGAACTCTCTTTGTATTGCCCAGTTGCTGCTGCTTAACAGCTACAATCCATTTTACTGCATTCTTATTTTCTACAGATTATCACCACTCCACAATGTTAAAGTTCCATCTGACCCAAATGTACAGTATCCAGCTTTATTGGTTTTGACTGCAGATCACGATGATCGTGTAGTCCCGTTACACTCATTCAAATTCATTTCAACGCTACAAGAGATACTGTGTCGGTGTGAAAACAGCCGACAGACAAACCCCATTCTCGCTCGAATAGAATCGAAAGCTGGGCATGGACAGGGGAAACCAACATCAAAATCAGTGAGTTGAAGAACATGTACCTGAATCGGCTTATTGTTTAGCCCTATTGAATTTTTTTCTGTAGAACGTATAACGAGCGTAGAATACCCATATAGCCTTGTGTTGAATAACTTTAAGGTGATTGATTATGATCATATATCATTCCGAAAAGCGGATATCTATAAGTAAGACAAAGACTTCTGCGTCGGTGGCACAATGGTAGAATGCTCGCCGACCACGCATGTGGTTCGGGGTGCGATCCCCGGCCGACGCACTCCTTCACCTCGCTAAGTCAGTAATAAGACTGGTAAAGATGGAAGGTTGGGCATGGGGCTAGCAACCATATCATTTAAAACTAAACACCACTACTGCCGGAACTTCAAGTATTTAGCTTGAAGACCTATGTTCCACTGGGAACGTGAAAGAATGAAAACAACGCGAAAAATACTTCATCACTGTGGCATGAGCTCGTTGCACTTCAATTGCTTTCATCGACTTATTAATATGCTATCACATACCTGCTTCTATTCCGATTCATTCTACCAACCTTACGCAACCACTTTCTAATACTCCTTCATGAAAACAGAACCAGCAACGACTGGACTCACGTAGTCTATTGATTTCACCTGGATACACTCATTCTCTGCATATGGTAAACAACTCCTCTTTAGTGCTGAACGTGTCGACAGACTTACTAGTAATATTTGCAAAATCAAAGTCTTCAAGGTAGACAGTGATATGATTCACGGAGAATTCAAAAAGCTCACTCTTCATATTGAAGTCTGCGCCGAGGTTGTTGTCGAGAGAGAGACACAATGAAAGCTTCGGAAACCAGCCATCCAGTTCAGAGAATACAACTACACCGATATCATTCACCTTCGCTACAAATCCTCTCGATGACTTACCAGTGATCAATGACAAGCTTAATTGTCTTGTATTTGAGTTAGGCGGCAGATATGTAGGTTATGATATGACAAATTATTTGTATTCCACATAAGACGTAATTTAGAAATGAAGAAGTGTATTTGACTGTTTGATAATTAGTGTCTATATCCAGAAGGAGGTTTAGTAAGCTGGAAATGCGAGAGTTAGTTTCGAGGTTAACTATAGTAGTTCAGCTGCTAGGATTGTAGGAAACTGTGTCCAAGGATCCCTGATGCATGTGACTCATCATTATTAGTGTTTCATCAGCGTGTACATGGTAGTCAATATGTGGTCAGAAGGGTCGATTCATTTCCATGATGCATATAAGAGTCGATCAGAGAGTGAAACAGTATTTCCTTATACTCGTATACACGTGTGAACGCCACCCCTTGTCACATCATCCATGATGATGCGTTATAACAGTTCACTTATTTTCAAACCTTCAGACAAGATCACTCTCTCTCTCTTATTTTGTATTTCAGATTGATGAAGTGGTGGATATATACGCGTTCCTACAGACAGCGATCTCACTCACATGGAAGGATTGAATTCCGTCCTTTATTATCTAACGATTTACGTTGACGTTATGGATTGGACAAGTAGTCGTATCACACTCACTATATTGACTATAGCCTTATCGACCGACACTTACTAGTCGATTTTATATTTATATTCACTAAGTGATTTAATTAAAAATGGACTTTTCTACGTGTCATTTTTTGCTTTCTTCTACATTGTATTATTTCGGTGGCGGCTGGTAGTAGTGACTATATGAAATCAGTTATGCTTTGCTGGAATATTCAGAAGTATACACTGAAATGTTGTTAACCAGCGAGATGTGTGATAGTAAGTGGTATCAGATTTGGCAGAGTATACTGGCGTTTAGAAAGTTAGTGATTCCAGACTATTGAAGTCCTATTTCCCTTTCTTATATTCACAATGGTGCCTATTGGTTCTACAGGCATCTGAAAACAAGGTTTATCCATATAGTCAAGAGTGGATGTCGTTCATATTTCATATTTCTGCTGATAAGGAGACAAACTAAAACAACTCGCAGTAACCGGGTGACTTAGAGAAAGGACATCATCAGGTGAAACAGAATGACATCACTTTATAGTCTTGTCTTCTCATCATGTGATTCAGTAAAGTAAGGTTAATCGATAAGAAGCGGTATGGGATATTACGCCACAAAATAATTTTGAAAAGTGTGCAAATAAGCTGGAGTTGTGAATCTTATTCGACAGAGAGTTTAACAAAGCCATAATGGTATGTCTCGAACAGATTGTGTAAGAAAAGCTATCAGATAGATAAGTCGATGGCCGTCAACAAACAGATTACGTAAAAGGCCAGTTTAACGCAGTTAGCTGAAGTCAAACACGGAAAAATGTCAATGGAAAAAATTGTTATCAAGATAAAATAAACACTAGTGATTATCGTGAAGCGAAAGCAGGAATGATGCGCCAGTCAAAACGTCTATTCATGGAAGGTAGCTTGGTTGTCTCATGCAGCCAAACTGACAACGGCGGTCATTTTGCAATCCTGACCAAATAATCACTTCATACAGGTCAGCACTATTTTCAAGCATGAGGAGAGACACTGTCTCACCTGACGACCTTCGACACCAAGTCGACTATGGATTCAAACAGATCACGTGGTGATTGGCTGTCGATAGAGAGGGTCAGTAGAAGACTCCCGCTACTTCTAAAACGCCTGTGTAGACTACCAGCATGCCCTGACCCTTGCATATATATGCCAACGACTGAGAAGATATAGAAAACGGGCAGCCGTCAATCCGCCACACCCCTGATTTGACGAGAAATCAGGGCTTTTATTTAGGGAAGAAATAGCTCAACACGTATCTGAGACCGACAGTAATATGTATCCTGTCGAATGTCGAGACAGTAGTAAGGCAGTCAATAACCTGAAACCAGCAGTTAGTAAATACCAGTGGATTTCTTCTGATTCATCCGGACATGATGAGCAGCTTTCGCTGCTCAAACCCAAGCTGAATAAATGTCTTTGCAATGAGCGTGAACAGTGGTAGGTGAGAAATGCGAAAGAAACATGAGCTGTAGGTAACACAAGAAAACTATTTGGACTCATTATACCTGTAGAACCGCAATGGTGAGTGGAACGATTTCTGAGAAGAAGCGTAGCTTGCTTACTTCCAAGAATGGATGAATGCAACATTGGAGAGAGCACTTTCGGGAACAATTCAACTGGCCTTCAAACAGACTTACTTGAATAGGATGTATACATGGGTTATGCAACTATAACTGAAATAGCAAAAGCTGCCTCTAGTCGAAAATGTGGTAAATCAGCGATATCAGGAAGTCGCTGACTCCAGAGGTGTTTAGGAATGACGGTGACGAACTATTGACTAGGATGTTAGATTATGTGTGGGAATCTGAGGTAGTCACACTGGACTGGTATCAATCAGATCATTGATCGTGCCAGTTTATAAGTATCAGAAGGGAGACAAGACCACCTTCGATAATCATAGAGGGATTAGCTTGACTGACATAGCATGTAAAATCCTCTTTTCAATAATCATGCGTCGAATGAGTATTACTTAGGAGGAACAAATCTATGAAGACAAGGCGACCCCTTGAACCAAGACTGTGGTGTATCTTTCATATGTTCACCCTTCGATAGATTCTGGAAAATAAGAATATCAACCGGCGTCTTCTTGGTCCGAATATGGAATTTGACTACATCGACCGAGAGATAGTGTGGAAATGTCTGACTGTGAGGGGAGTGCCGAGAAAGTAAATAGTGCTAGTTAACGCTCCCTACTAGAACTCAAATAGTCATTTAAGAGACTATGGAAGGTTTTCATCTGATTTGATGAGAACCGGTGTCGTCCATCAGGGATGCCCAATGTCTCCCATCTTGTTGAATTTCATCATAGCTGAACTAACGGATGCGACATAGAAATTGACTTGTTACCAGAGAACGCTCCCATCGATTTGGAGTGTACAGATGAGATAGATAGATAGATAGACATATGATACGCAGACACAGGCGAAACGAAGAGACATCTAAACAACTTGAGCAGAAATCTTTGTTTGGTATGCGATTCGCCCTTGTGAGATATAAAATGATGCTGCAGGATTAGTCTATGCTGACTCCTATTTTGCAGATAGGCAGCGAAATGGTTGAGCATGTCGACCACTTCATTAATTTGTGGAGTTGCGTCAGCCCTAATGGACTCGTAGATGTCGAAGTTTCAGCACAAATCCAAAGGGCTCAGTGTGGTATTTACCAATTTCCACCATGTCACCTATATATCTAGAAGATTGAGACACGTGTTACTCATGCCAAGGCATCGCCTTTCCGATCGAACAATCGCTTGCTAATAAACTAACAAAATGTGATCACTGGTTGGATTGAATGACTGCGACTCTAGAAAAACAGTTGAGCTGTTCCAATTTTTGTTACACATTTTGTAAACATGAAGATTAATAATGAGAAGAAAAGTGGACGTTGAGGATGATATGGTATGTGCTTCACAATGGACAATTAATCCACGAAAGTTCACACGTAAATAAGTGATTTGCATCATTGTAAAAACAAAGTACAACTCTTAACCAATGCACTTGAGAATAATTGGGGGAAAAACTATTACCCACTACTCAAGAGGAAGTTAATCTAGCAAGGAATCGCGATGATTCATTAAGAGGCGTGTATATTCGATGAGAATAGTTTGTTTTACTGGAATCGATTGTATAAATACTCTCTAGTATCTTCTTTTGTAGTTTAGATTAATACATTCAGGTAAAAATTCAGAACCCAAATTCAATGGGAGCAGTAGTTGTAGATTTTGACTGCATCATACTGAAAAGCAAGGAATCTAGATTGTGTATGCGAGTCAAGGTGATATGAGAGTATTCTCCTCTAGAAAGCTTGTTCCTCAAAATAATCCCATGAATGATATGACTTCGTTAATACACGCCTAACACTGTCGTCGTATAAGGACAGTAGTTATGAGTTGGCTGACATGTGTTCCGCATACAAATTGGGGATTTACAGAAATCACATCTAAACACTAAATATACAAACCAATAAGACGTTTAACTGACTTTTTCTTGAAAAGTTATTCATCAGTTCAGAGGACGTTTGATTTGAGTCAAATGTTAGTGAACATGTTTTCTTGAGAGCTGCATATTCTTGAGGACCACCTCTGCATCCGGATAGGACTAAAGCCATACCATGGTAGTAGTTTACCAGTCTCTGATATGCAGCAGAAATGTCATTCAGCTCTTCTTCCTATCTTGTTTCAAGAGGTTCAGCACCCTACTTTTGATGTCAGTAAATTGAGTTCACAGTATTCTAGAGATGAGTATTAGGGCTTTAGATTGATCCTCTTTTAGATAGCAAGAAAGTTATGTACCTTGGTATGATTATGAGTTATTGTGCTCGAAACATCATCAATAAATATTACTGTATAACACTGTCAGACTTTAGCAAAATAAATTCCACCCACAATGGAATCCCATATGGCGATTAACTCCAAACATATAAGGTACAAAATTACATCAGGTGTAACAGTGGAAGGCAAGACACGGAAGCCGAGGTATATTTTCAAGTGATCAAACAGCTATTTATATAGATACAGTTTTATATTCTCTAACCAACCATTGAGCGTGTGATTTTGGCTTACATTAAACGACATGAAATAGAATCCTCAAATACATATATCATTTTGTTGCTAATGCAGTAATGAACCTAGCCTAGCTAACTAGCTTGCTAGTTTTCTAGCCGGTTTCAAGCCTGAGTTAAGAGGGAGGGTTGGGCGTAGGGCTAGCAACCCCACACCACTAAACCTATCAAACCGCCAGAGAAACTTCAACAGACAAAAATATGTTGAAAATACAAAAAATTCAAAGGAAGATCTTATTCTTCGCTCGAATTGGAGAGGCGAAATGACACAGCAGACTGGTGAAAGCCTTCGGGAAGCCTCTCAGCCAGCCCATGTGTCTTCTCTCGATGAAAGCGAGAATAAGAATGGGGACGTGGAATGTCCGTAAAATGTAAGAGACTGGGAAAGCTGCCCAGGTAACCGTCGAAATGCGAAGATATGGCATAGAAGTGTTGGGTATCTGAGAAAGCAGATGGAGTGGATGCGGATTTTCAAAATTTTCAACTTGAGAGTCAGTAATCTACTCCGGTCTGGTCACCCAGACGACAACCACGAGCTCATTGAGGAAGGAAAGTCACAATAATCAAATCCTAAGGACGGCGCTACAAACAACTCGGAACAAGAGAAGAAAGAAGAATCTTATAGACAACTACAAAAAGAAATGTACAAAATACTAAATGGTGACATCCAAATTAAGAGTCGCGATGTGAATACCAGTCAAACTGGGAGCAGACAATACAGAAAGCGAACTAACTCATCATGGGTCGAAAGGCTCTCGCTCGGAGAAGTGAATGAGGACACAGAATTAATTATCCACAGACGTCTGCGCTTTCAATGATTCAGTGATCGGAGGCAGCATGTACAAGCACACGGATATACACAAAGCAACATGGACTTCGCCTGACGGACACACCACAAACCAGATAGATTTCATCTCAATGCTGCAGATGGAAGTGGAGACGCAGTCAGTCTGCTGAACACAAGGTCGAGAGGGGGAGCAGATGTGGGCTCAGACCATCATCTAGTGCGAGGAACCTTCAAGGGGAAGCTGAAATCCCTCAAAACAAATGGAG